TGCTTGGCGTGAGGGATTGCATTCGAGTCAATGAGTCGATGCAATCAACTGGTTTTCCTTAGATAGAAAACTTTGAATCAATTTGCAAAGTGCCTTGAGATGACATGTGTTGTGAATTGGCGCTATAGAAGTAAACTGAATTGAAATTTCAGAACTGGAGTTAACTAATAAATCAAACTCTCACCAAATCCGGTCGGGAGGAACCAGCAAAATTCTTTCCTCTTCACAAAGTCAAAACCTGGGTCCTTTGCTTGATTTTTAAAACAGAATTAGAGGGTATTCCTGCTAACACTGATGCAGCCATCTTTGTTTTGCTTCAGCTTTCAGCCTTTTGTTGATGCATTGACATCATACATGTCACTGCATCTTATTGGTCCTAAAAATATGTGTATTGTGACAAATGCATCTTTTGGCTTCTGGCAAGATGTATTTTCAGGTGAAATCTCACAATTCATTTTGCTTGCATGTTAGTTTTGTGTGTGTTTTAAATAATCCTTTGACTGTATTATGCGTGGGATCTTTTGGCAGAATTCTACATTAATTTTTATTTATTTATTTTTTTATTTAACAGGGACAGTACAATTAAACATTGCAACCAAACAGGTGGCCGATGTACAAGTACATAAGGCTTGTAGCCATGGGCTAATTTGCAGCCTTCGTCCCTGGTTAGGCTTTTAAAAGGTGTTAGCATTGAGGGGGAGGGGGGTTAGTAACGACACACAGATGCCTAAAAAAACAAGAGAAGTTAAAACAAACAAACAAAAAAAAAAATTTACAGTAAAAGCCAGTTTAGTGCTCACACTCTTGATTGTCTTTGAGACATTTTTTCAATCTTGTGGAGAAAAGTCGAACATCAGTCATAATTGTCTTAGCTTAGCATTCTTGTTTTTATAGCTCCCCTTGCAACTGAGAAATGCAAGGATCAGCTGGGGCTCAAAGCTTATAGAGGTTCTTTATGTTTTTGCTTGACAGAGATCTAACTTATATTTGTTGAATTGTTTCAATTTTTAGAAATGCTGCATATATACAGTAGAGTTCAAATTGTGTTTATTTGCAAAGGCATATAATTAGGAAATTATTTCTTTATGGATTTTAGCCTTTTTTACAGAACTTTAAGGGGGTGTGTGGTGTTTTTGTTTCATATTTTGCTAATTGGCACAGCATTACATTCTGTTGTATTTACATTTGTTCAAACTTTTGCCATCTTTTTTTTTCTGGAAACAGGATTGTCAGTGAGACGACAGAGATTTAAAGTGATCTTTTCGGCAAAGCTGCCTTAAAGGGGCATGCAGAGAGAAAAATAGAGAAAAGAATCATCATCCCGGAAGCCATCTTGGATGATTACCTCCTCTTCACCAACTTGTTTTGCCAACTCCACAGCAGTTTCCTGTGCTTTTACCTTATAATTCAGTCATATCAGCAAATGCATATTAATTGCAATATATAATACTTTTAAACTTTTGTACCAAAAGAATTTCATTCTTTTTTGTTTGTTTACCTGCACCTCTACAACAGGCTCTGGTACCTCCACAGCTGTCTCCTGCAGAGTGAAACTATTTTTATATTCTTAACCCAGGTATATCAAGATAAAAATGATTAATTATTATATTTGTTAAAGGAATAGTACACCCAAAACATGATTAGCCTTCATTTTCTACTCACCCCCATGCTGAACAACACTCTGGAGTACTTTTTTG